CGTATGGAATAGGATCATCATCTCAGAGATGAAAATTTGAATATACAAACTTTGTCATCCGATTAAACTGTAAAAAAAAAAAAAAAAAAAAAAAAAAAAAAAAAAAAAAAAAAATAGCAAAAGAAAGCATTTTGTAAAGGAAATTAATAAAATTTTGTTTTTTAATGAAATACTACTAATTATTTGGATGCCAAATGTCTTAAGGTAAATCTTATTGTTGGAGGGCTATATGAGTAATTTTGTAGAAAGGTTATTATAGCATTGGAAAATCTTCACCCATAAAATAGACTGGGAACCTCTCAAACTTCAAACTGGTATGCTAACATTTGTCTCTTTGGTTCAACATAGAGTTTCTTCATGGTGTTTTTGAAAACTATGGATATACATGATGCTTCATGCAATAAATTAAACTAAAATAAAAAAGAGTAAATAAATGCAAGATTCATAAACTTGTATTGAGAATCCAGTCATATCACCAGCTTGTTTCTTTCACCAGTTGCCGAATATGAAGTCTTCTTTTATGCCTATCATTTGAGTAAACTTGGTGAGATCAATCAAATAGATAACAATCGGTGATCAAGTAACCAAGGCATCAAATACCTACAATAAATTGGTATAAACATGATAAACAATCACAAAAATCATGTTTCCTGCAAATTATACGACAGTGTAGGGGTAAAACCAATAATTGAAGTGATAGAGAAGTGATGAAATTAACCTTCAACAATATCGGATTTAGGAGACATAGTATGCACATATCCTTTCAACTTTTATAACTGCATGAATTTATAAGGATGAATATATAGAGCAAAGAAGGTTGAATATATAGAGCAAAGAATAGAGGTAAGAGATTAGGGCTCAGACTTTAAAAAGTTGACTGGGAAATTTTACCAAACACCTGGTAGGCAAACGTTTCAGCATTAATCAAACTTACCTCTAGTATCAAATCTGAAGTACACAACTTGACAAACCCATCTTTGTCAAGATAATTCGCCACACCTGAGCCAGTTCATTGATATATCAACGAGAATGGTTTTTTTTTGTGAAAAGATCAGAAGAGAGGCTTTACAAATCTCAAACCACATGTAGGTACCAAAGTAAACGGGAAAAGAGAGAGACGAATATGTTAAGACAAAAAATTGAATCTGTATAATCAAATAGTTCACTTGATTGATGGAATTGAACGTCGTTTCTTTCATGTCGATGCTTCGTTTCTCTGCGATGAAAAAAGAATTGTTGATTTCACTTAACGCTCTGTGATACCTTCTTCAATTTCCGTTGATTTCACTTAATGCTTCGTTTTGAACGTTATTTCTTGCAATGGACCATTCATGGAAAGGGAAGAGGATTAGGGTTTAAGATAGAATCCACCTTCAAGAATTGGTGATTTAGTTTGGATATGATTATGGTTCCTTATTTCTTGCTATGAAATTCCTGATTTCTTGCTATCATATTCGAAACTGATTGCCGATAAATTGGTATATCAATTCAAACATCAATGCATAACTATTAAAGCCGGAGCAAGAGGGCATTTGGGAAAATCCACTCTTGTATTTTGAGTAGGAAAAATCGATTGGGGAGGACTTAGTGAATGCCATGTGGCAAAAATCTACTTATTTATTAGATTAGGGGATGATTTGTGTATTGAGCTATATGGGCTCGGAGTCATTAGGAACTCAGGGTTGATACATACACGGGGGTTGATACAGAACCGATACAGCTACAAGCTGTTATATATAGTCATTATGGACTCAGGGTTGATACGGACCCGACACAGCCACATGCTGTTATATTTGTATATATATGTGGTATGCGATATTTTGAGGAATTTATGAAACTTTATGCTTACGGTTTCATATTTATGGTTTTAGGTACTTTCGATTCGAAAGGGAAGGGCCCGACGTGACCGCACAACATCACCTAGAGTTTTCCACATTGGCGATTAATGATATTACTCTGATGTTTAAATAATATATTCACTTTGATCGGTTTTGGACACAACTCGTTTGTATAATTTATTGTTTTAAAAATGAAAACTTTATCTTGGATTTTCAAGACGTTACACAAATCATATCCTCTCTAACTTACTCTTGAAACATAACCTCAAGACGGTTAATCATGTCATATTCACCAAGACTTCTTAAGCTCTTTAAAAGCTCAAGAATCATGATACCTACACATAAGGCATGCTACCTCTATTGAATGATTCAAACGTCTATGATCTTCTATGTCAGCTCTAATGAATCCAACTAGAGAATCCTTAAGAATAATTTCCTTAGTGACATGAAGATTTTTTCGTAAAACTGAGTACAAATCTTGAATTTTGAAACCAACAAGCATAATTAATGCCATCAAACTTATCTTTATCGAGGAGTCCTCATAATGCAAAACCTGTGACATACAAATTATTGTTTGAAGACATCCATTAAAACAATAATAAAACAATAATATTTATTAATGGTTTCATAATTATCAGTTACAAAAATTAATTACTCAAAAATTTATTTTATCAATGACTAAGACTCATATTTCACTTCTAGTTATGAAAAGGTATGTCGGAATAACAAAAATAAGTTACTTGGATAGGTAAAACTCTTTACCAATTTCAATATCTATGGAACTCTTAGGTCTACAATATTTATTGAATTTTATTAAGTCAACATTGGCATGTTTAATCTCTTATAAGTTTATCTCTTATTGTGACATGCATGCATTAGATAAAAAAGAAAAATAGTAAGTCGTCTTTTAAACATACATTATATCCAACCAAGACTTTAGGATATCACGAACGACACTTCGCTTTCTAATGTCTAATAGACATGTTTGGCTAATGTACTTTCCTATATATGTCGAAAGACCATTAAAATAAGTTTTGCAATTTTAAATGTGTAGCTTATGATTTACATTAAAAATGGGTTTTTGTTTTTGGTTAAAACACTTTCAACTTTTTTCTCAACAAATTTAATTTTAAAACTTCTTGTAAACTATTTATAAGTGACATCTTCAAAATTAGTAGCTATTTTCACAAATACATCTACAAAATTAGTGACTATTTTGATAATCTCTCCGCTTTTTGCTTAAGTCTTGGAAAGAGGTAAACTAGATTAACATGATTTGTCTTTTTTCCCCTCTCCTTATCCTTCCTCCCCTCCTCCCCCCTCTCTCTCTTTATATATATATATATATATATATATATATATATATATATATATATATATATATAGGGAAAAGTGAATATACCCTTAAGGGTATATAAGCTTACGTACCCAAAACTCACTATACTACATCGTTTTGTATCATATATATATATATATACATTGTAATTATCCAATTTTCTTATAATTCAACTTCTAACTTGATTTACTTCTAAGATTTTTATCAATTTCACATTTATATTCCTCTTACATAATTTTCATTTTCAACTATAATATATATAACCTAGTAGGAATTTGCCAAAAATATGTGATGCAAGAGGAAGATAATAATGAAATTTCAAAATTTTTGAAAGTAAATCAAGTCAAGGGTTGAAGTTTAAGAACATTATAATGAATATATTAAACAAAATGACGTATTATAATGGGTTTGGGTACCTAAGCTTATATACCCTTAAGGGTATATTCACTTTTCCCATATATATATATATATATATATATATATATATATATATATATATATATATATATATATATATATATATATATATATATAATCAATTTATCATGAGAAAATAAAAAATGACTTTGTAGGGTAAGTAACTATATAACTTTTGTACATGTTTAATAATTATATTTTATAAGGTTTACCATTAAACCAACATTTTTTGTTTAAAAAAAATATAATTATGACCGACTATTGCAGATATAAAGATTTACATTTTAAAAACATCATTAAAATCATATTTTTAAAAAAAAAAAAATACCATTAAACTCATATTTTTATACATAATTTGCCATTAAACCAACTTTTCTCCATATTTAGTCACTCTTTTCTAAGCATTTACTCTGACCACCAATTTCCAAAGAGAAAATGAAAACACTATTTTACATATTCGATTTCTAAAAACATTATAAAGCATATAATTTTCGCCTTCTTGTCTCCGGTTAAAGCGACCCCACCCTCTATTTATTACCATCAGTATTCCTCTTACCGACGTTCATACGTTTCTATGCTTCTCTCCATCTTCTAATATTTTGTGAAAACCACCTTACTCGTATCCATTTTCCTATTGATTAATGTACCACCACTAACCACCTCCATTCAACAATTTTATTTGTGGAATATGAGTTTGAATCAATTGGAGGTTTAATTCGATTTTACTACAAGTTGAAGTTCATTTTATATTTGTTTTTGGTGGTGGTCACGAATGTTGGAGATGGGGTGTTGTGAATAACAGTGATGCAATGTGGTGATTGTTTTGGAGGTGACTTGTGGTGGTTGGAGATACGCATGGAGGTCTTGATCAGAGAAGATGGTAGAGACGTAGCTTAATAGTAAATCGTATACAAAACAATTTTAATGGTAAATTATGTAAAAATTATGTAAAAGATAATTAAGTTACAACACCTCATCAAATAATTAATTTTGAATGATTTGGATAAAATTAATGATAAATAGTAGAACAAATTACGCGAATGGTCCTTTAGGTTTTGAAGTTTTCCCTAATGTAGTCCCTACAATAGTTTTTCCCTCAAATAGTACCTATGGACCATAAGTTGCACGCGTTTGGTCCCCGAGTTGGATGTCCGTCCATTCCAACGTTAAGCTGCTCCATTTGACTTGCACATGAGGGTATTTATGTCGTTTTAACCTAAAGGACCTTTTCTGAACATATTAATTAACAACTATATCCATTAAGGTGGTAGGGTTTAGTTTTAGACATTGACTTTACACTCAATCTCTTTCCCTAAGAAAACCTTTTGATCATCCCATCTTCTTCAATTGTGATTTCTTATCGTCGTCAGCCGTTACAGTTCACATGATTGAAGGGTGTATCGAGGAAAATGGTGCTCACATTGTGGTCTTTACGTCCACGCTACACCCAACTACCTGACCTATGTAAAGCATATGGTAAGCATGGATATTGTAATGCTAGCTTTTGACGAAATATAATTTTTCTTTCCTCCATCATTAACATTTTATTGTTCTTGAATGTTCACAGGTTCTATTTCAAGCTTTTGCACATTCAAGATAAATCATGGAGGTTCGTTCACAAATATGGTATCTGGAAGGTCATACATAGATGGGCTTGTTGATCATTTTGGTTTTGTGGACATAGATGTGTTTTCAGTCCACGAGTTAGATGATATGATGGAAGTTTTAGGGTACAATGATGGAGGTATAATGTTTTACCATTTCATGATCCCAGAGACAGACTTAGATAGTGGATTTTTACCCCTTGGCACCGATCAGGAAGTCATTTAGCTGGCAAGGTATGTACTTAATCATAAGGAAATTAATTTGTACATCGAGCATGGAAATACTAGAGTAGTCCCTTACTTTAAGTCCCCATTGAAGGTTCGTATTGAGGAAGTTGAAGGGAATGATTCTCCTGAAATGAATAGGGTTAGAATGAAAAGGAAATCAATTGGGTCATGTAGTCAAAAGTTGGATTTGAATGAGTCCACTGATTTGTCAAAGTTAATTGTACCCTATGAATCTGTAATCAACAAAAAAAACACTCAATTGATCGGGAGAGTGATCCCTTTAGGGGGTACAGTTTGAGGATAACCATGCTAAAAAAAATGTTGACACAGGGGATGAGCACCAACCAAAAGGGGATGTTGATCCAATGGATGATTATGAGGTAATGTGGGATGTGGACGCAGAATATGGTGGGGGAAAAAATCTACATAATGTTGAGTTTTTTGAGGATGAATACATTGGAAGTAAGGAAAGTGTTAGTGAGGGTCCTGGGAGTGAGGGTAGTAGGAGTGAGGGTAATATGATAGATGATGAGAGTGAGGACGAAGACTTCTTTGTGGATTTAGAAAATATTGTAGATGATGTGGATGTTGATATGAAAGAATTTCATATACATGTTGATGAATATGTTGAGTGGGTTCAAAAAACCACCAAAGAAAAGTGGTAGTGGTGTTGACTTTACCGAAGGTGAAGATTTGGAGGTCATAGACCCATAATCGTTTGAGTCACCTATTGTAGATGAAGATAACAACAAAGAGAGGATGTTGAGAGACATAAGAAAGGAAAAAATTTGGTCTGAGGGTGTAGTACATCAAAAGGCTTTCACATTAGGACAGAAGTTCAAAACTAAGAAAGATGTGAAAGAATATATAAACAAACATGCAGTAGAAACCAAAAGGGATTTACATTTTGAAAAAAAAAATGACAAAACAAGGATTAGGGCTAAGTGTAGTGGAGTGGTCCCAGATATGAGTGGTGGGCCATGGACAAAGTCAAGGACTGGATTCAAGGATAAAACAGTAAATATGAAAGAGGGTAAATATCCTTGGGTTGTACTAGTGTCTAGACCTAAAGAGTCAAATGACTGGGTAGTGAACACCCTAGTTAGTGAACATCGGTGTGTGCAATCAAGAACAATTAAAGCTTGCAACTACAAATTCATTGCAACAAACATTGTGAAGCAAATTGAGAGTAATCCAACCATTCCAGTTAATGCACTTCAAGAAGATCTCATCCAAAAATTCGAGATGAACATGTCAAGAATGAAGGTACATCGGGCAAAGGAATTGGCTCAGAAGCATATTTTTGGGGATTTTTAGAAACAATATGCTATTTTGAGGGACTATGGACTAGAGTTGATGGAAAGAAACCCAGTTACTAATGTGAAGATCGATTGTTACAGTGAGCCAAATTTAAATTCTGATACAAGGACATTTAGGAGAATTTACATTTGTTTAGGAGCATTGAAGGAAGGATTTAAGGCTAATCTAAGGGATTTCATAGGGTTGGATGGTACTTTCATGAAAGGTCCCTATCCTGGTCAAATTTTGACTGCTGTAGGGGTAGATTCCAATAATGGGGTATATCCTCTTGCATATGCTCTTGTTGAGAATGAAACCACCAATTCATGAGCAAGGTTTTTGGAACAACTTGGTGATGATCTGAAACTTTATGCTAATTCAAACTTCACTTTCATCTCAGATAGGCAGAAGGTACATATACTTCAATTTAATTTGATATTGTTGTTATTTAGTCAACTAAGTATTGAAATGTTTAAATATGGTATCATTCCTGCAACTGCCAAACTTTTCCCTCAAGCTGAGCATAGGTTTTGTCTGAGGCATATTTATGAAAATATAAAAAGGAAGTGGAAGGATAAAGAGCTCAAAGATTTGGTGTAGGCATGTTCAACTGCTACTACTGTAAGGCATTTTGAGAAAGCATTAGAAGAGCTAAAGAAATTCAAAGTTAAAGCTCATGATTGGTTGATATATATTCCTCCAACTCATTGGGCAAGATCTCATTTCTCAGGTTAGTACTTTATCTTTCCTTTATGTTAACATTTACTTGTCATTGTTAAGATTTGCGCTCATTTTGTATTATATGACTAAACAGGGAGGGCACATACTAACATCTTGTTAAATAACCCGTGTGAGGTTCTGAATGGAAAAAAAATACAAGGTGGTAGGGACAAGCCTATCATTTATTGTTTGGAGTATATTAGAGAGTATTTGATGAAGAGAATTTGCAATTTCCAAAGAGAGATTGATAGATGCCATGGTTCTCTCACACCAACTGCCACTAGTCTTCTTGATCAAATGAAAAGACAAGCACAAAAGCACAAGTGTATTTTCAATGGGGTTAAAACTCAAGTCACTACTTATTGGGGTGATCAGTTTATTGTGAATTTAGATGAAAAAACATGCACATGTAGACATTGGGAAATTATAGGCATGTTATGCTCACATGCAATAAGTGCAATATGGGACAAGATTAAACATGGAGCAAAGAATGTTCCTGAGTTGGAGCATTGGGTCCACCCATGCTACTGGCTAATTACATGGGTAGAAGTGTACAAACACAAAATAGAACTTATAAATGGTAGATTGATGTGGCCCAAATCACAATGCCCAACCAAGTTGCTTCCACCCAAACATGTTGTTCAGGTATGTCTTCATATATCAATATAAATGCAATTTTTTTTAAGAAAAACAATTTAATCTTATGTACATTTGTAGGTGGGTAGGCCCAAGAAGAAAAGGAAGAGGGCATACGATGAACTTGCTACATAGGGGCATAAACTATCCAAGAGGTGGACCACTGTCACATGTAGAAAGTGCAACAACAAAGGGCATAATTCAAGAACTTGTAAAGGTCAAGGTGGCCCTAATGACAAAATAACTGAAGAAATAGGAGGATAGAAGTGATGATGGGGGTGTTGTTGAGAACTATTAGGTCTTTTGATGTAATTTGCACTTTACTTTTATGGTTATGTTAACATCTATGTTTATGTACCAAACAATACTTACTTTGGGCTTCTTATTTTGTATGGTCATGCATGTTGACCTTGAATCATTGTACACATAGGTAAACTATGAAACAATGTCAACTGCTGTTGTGATATACAATAACATTTTTGTTATATTCTTGTTCTTGTCAACTAGTATTTGTGATATTCAAAGTGTATGGTCATGCATGTTGAATTGGTGTTCTTGTCAATAATATTTGATTGCACAAAGCCATGATACAATAACCTTGTTATGAAATTAAACCATTTGATTACAAAAAGACTATAACATTAAGACAACATTAACCAGAACATAATTTACTGTAGTCAAACTCAAAAAAGACAAAAACATTACATAAACAATGCTACGATTTCCTTTCTTCAGACTCAAAATAAGACCACTAGTACATTAACCCTATGACTACGACACTACTTCTTGCATTCAGACACCACATTCAGAGGCAACTTCGACCATGCTTCAAGTAATGAATTGCAAAAAGACCCCAACTGCAGAGAATGATTAGCTTATACATCCTAGCTTGCAGTGTAGCTTGTTGAAGAGATTCTTGGAGCTTATTCATAGACCTGATTAACCCAGGTATCACTTCCATCGATCTAGGGAACATCGGCTCATCAAACCACCCAATCCAACCACACATTCTCTCATTACGAAGACAAGACCAAAATCGCCTTCCAGGGTTGCGATCTGACCAGGAAGTGACGATAGCTAGATCACGGTTTTCACAAGCACATATCGACATTTTCCACATCTTTCAGTGATCGATTGAATTAGGAGGAATAATAAGAAGAAGTAATATAAGCTATTAATTTATATGTTCAGAAAAGGTCCTTTAAGCTAAAATGACATAAATACCCTCATGTGCAAGTCACATGGGGGCAACTTAACGTTGGAATGGACATACATCCAACTCGGGGACCAAACGCGTGTAACTTATGGTCCATAGGTACTATTTGAGGGAAAAAATACCATAGGAACTACATTAGGAAAAAATCCAAAACCTAAAGGACCATTCACGTAATTTGTTCTAAATAGTATATAAAAAATCAAGATAACTAAATGTATATGAAAAAACAATAATATTATCGTACAAGTTTTCCCTACTGTAAAATCATAATTATATTGAAACAAGTCCATAGAGCTAAGTTGTTTTCCCTTTTTACTTTATCTTCTAATTGGGAATCTCACCTATTTGGCTATTTGAGAAAGGGGTTCTTAGTCCTAGGAAAAAAAAAAGTGGGTAGGTGGTTAGCATTACAAACTGAAAATCCAAACATCAAATTAAAAATCTCAAGGTCAAATTTGTAATTTTAAAACAAAAGAAGAAAAACTTTTGGTATCAAGCTCAGCGCGTTAAAAATTCAAAAATCACCCAAACGGCGGTAACTTAACGCCGTTACCATTTCTTACTATATATATGCTCTTTCGCGTCAGACACAATAAATTTACATAAAAAAATCTAGAGAGAGAAATTAATTGCAGAGTTCTTGAGGAACTGTTCAAGTTCTTCGCAGATCAGACGCAGTAATCTGTAAGAATCTCATCACATTTTCACTGTTTTTTTGGATTTAAGCAACTGTGCAGCTTGTATATTGCATTATTCTTGTAGTCATAGAACTAATTGGATTCTAATTAGATCTACATTACTCGTCGATTTTTGGGGTGTTCTTTGGGGATCGGCTTTTCCGTTTTGATTTTTTCGGATTTTGATCGTTGTATAGGTTTTACGTGGAGGATTGTTACTGAAAATGGGAAAGTTTTGTCCAAAGTTTACTCTGAACTCGTAATAGTTTACGAAAATGTGGTATGTGAAACGAATATAACCAGCTGCGTTTTGTTAACAAGATAGAATCATAAAAACCTTCGAACGTTTTCAATATGATTGACTCTTTACCTATGAATTTTGAAGGGTTTTTTTGATTTTTTTTTTTTTGCGAGTTTTCAGCCTCCGAATTTAATGTTTTCTGATTTAGATGTCTTCCTTTCGTACGTGCGTCTGTATATTTTTTAATACCTGTCATTGTCAAGCTTGCTATGAAGTTTGAATCCTCTGAATTGCATTTTGCTGTATAATCGATATTATTATGTCATCCTTATCCTGATGCCTAACAAGTTATGATCTTGAAATTTCAATCTTTATAATCAATTAATCATACATGAAGTTACAATTTCAATGTTACAGAAAAGTAACTTTTTTCCCCTCAATCTTGCTTAGTGGAGCAAACTATTTATGCTTGATAACTCAATTGAATGATTGATTATTTGGTAAACTGTCATTGTCTACCTTTGTCTTACTTTATCTTAAACTGTACTTCTTACATCATTTGTCAAACACTATTTATATATGGAAAATCATATATACAACCTCCATAATTTGAATTTCTTGAATGGTAAGTCTTAATAATTCAACATTTTTATAAATGTTCTTGAATTCCATTGTTTTCTTTGCAGTCTAATGGGAATGGAGGTGGCTAATATATGCACACTTGATTCAAATGATCTTACAAGTAATGATACAACCATTAACAATGATTCAGCAAAACTTTCTATAAATGGAAACTCAAATGGTGTGAAGGAGTTTGAAGAGAAGAAATGTGTTATTGAAGAAATGGAACCTAAAAATGAACATTGTGAAGATCAAAGACAAGAGGAAGAAGATCATGACACATTGGAGAAGACAATATCTGATACTACTACTCAACATCAACAAACAGAAGGTGAAGTCAAGAAGTTGACCACAACAGTCAAACCTTTGACCAAATCTTCTAAAACAAAACACACAGTCCCACAGCCATTTGCTCTTGCTACTGAAAAACGCGCGCAATGTGGAACTCGCCCTGTTGGCAATCCTGTAGCCAAGTCATCATCTCATTCAAAGAAAACAAATGAGGTAATTTCTCAAAAAGTTTAAACTGGAAATTTAAGTTTTTTTTGTATTTTTTTAAAGTTTTGTGGTTTATGTTTACCTTCAGATAATTCCACCTTCAGTAGCAAGGAAGCCGTTGCAACCAGATAACAAGAAGCATCCGGATGATGATGATTCTTGTTCTGTAGCATCTTCGTATCCACATATATATTTTTTTCTTTTTCTTTTTATTTTTACATTTTTCTTCTGTGTTTGTTGTGGTTCTTAATTTTTACAAAGTACTGCTGCATCAGCAAGGACAATAATGTCCAAATCCACTTCTGCATCCGCTCCGGTTTTCAGGTGTAGCACACGCGCAGAGAGACGAAAAGAGGTTTTTTTTATTTTTTTATTTTTTATTTATTATTTATTTTTTTAAAATCATTTCTTGCATGTCAATGCCTTTTTAGGCCTCATTTGTTACACAACACAAAGCTTAAAGTCTTAAACAGACGTCTGTGTATTGTGTTTGACATGCATTGGACTGAGACTGACACCGATGTACAAAAATTACAATCTTTTGTTCCAACCAAAAAGATGGGACAGAGACTTGCTCCTGATCTTTCGTCGGTTAAAAAGACGTAAATGCCCTTCTCATCTTTATCATCAAAAGTAGCCCTAGAAAGTCTGTCCAGTCCAATCCAATCATGTCCTGTGTAACACATGCAGCCTTAAGGCTGCATTTGTTACACACGAAAGAACTAGATGGGATAGGACTGGACAAATTTTCTAGGGTTATTTTTGATGATGAAGAAGAGGAGGGCATTTACGTAATTACATCTTTTTTACCGGCGAAAGATCAGGAGCAAGTCTCTGTCCCATCTTTTTAGGTGGGACAAAAAATTGTAATTTTTGTACATTGGTATGAGTCCCAGTCCAATGCATGTCAAATACAGTATACGGGTGTCTGTTTAATCTTTGTATTGTGTAATAAACATAATAATAATAATTCCCACTATTTTTTTTTTCTTTTTTTCAAATTGTGTTCATTTTCATCAGTTCTATTCCAAATTAGAGGAGAAACAACAAGCACTTGAAGCTGAGAAAGTTCAATGTGAGGCAAGAACCAAGGTACACAAACATCATTTATTTTTATAATTTGTTTTGTTAATTCTCTTCTTTATGCCATGTTTTCTTTTGTCTTTTTTGTTTTGTATATAAAAAAGGAAGAAAAAGAAGCAGCATTGAAGCAACTGAGAAAGAGCTTGTTATTCAAGGCAAACCCAATGCCAAGCTTCTACCATGAGGGCCCACCACCCAAGACTGAGCTAAAGAAGGTAATACATAAATTATCTAGACTCGATAAACCACTTCAACAAGACTAAATGACCATTTTACCCTTACATTCCCCAAAAAAACAACTTTCACAAATATTCATCAATATGAGAGGAGCTGGAAGGAAAAAAGAAACTGCCCCTAGCTATTTTTTTTTTTTTTTTTAATTTAACATCACTTCTAAGCTGAAGGGTAAAATGGTCATTTACATGTTTTTATCTAAATAACAGCCACCACCAACACGTGCAAAGTCACCAAAACTTGGAAGAAGAAAAAGCTGCAGTGACACCACCGGTTTAGACAAGAGAAGTGGAGCAAATGCTAGAGTTCGAAATAGCCTTGGAATCTACAGAGTGACAACAAACCAAAAGGACAAAATTACCCTTCAAACCACCACTGAAGAAATGGAAGACCCAAATGGGTCAATTTTGTCCAACATTATTACTCAAGACTTTGATGCTAAGATTGATATGCAATCTTAGAGGGAGGTTTTTATGGTGAGTTTTTTTCTAATTCAATACAATTTCGATTGTATTTTTAAATTTTATTTTTTAACTTTATCATGTGGTCGTTATCATCTTGATTGAGAATATGTTGAAGTTATATTTTGTTGACATGTTTGGTATTTATAAATTATAATGTATGAGGTGTAAATTATACTCCAAGTTGTGTACTTATCTGTGGAAGAAAACAAAATGTTGTATTGTTAAAAATCGTTGTTTTTCTCTCATACATTTTTTTTTAGTTTCATATTTTTATAAAACAAGACAGATAAGGTTGTATTGTATTTTGTGGTGCTAGTGGGACAACTTGTTGGTTTTTGTCCAATTAAAAAAAAATGAGACACTCGTCTTATTGTTTTTTAGATGAGTCTAATAAATTGAAATTTCGAATGTATGAGTTGTAAATTATTTATTAAATATTAACAAAAATATATTACTTTTCCATAAAATTAAAGCATGGTATAAAAAGATATTAATTCTGTATATAACATTGTTAATTTTGATATTTTAAAAGTTAATAAGGATAAATATGATATTTAGATTTTAGGATACTTTGAAACTTTTCAAAAATATATACAAAATTCTCCTATATAAATAAGTAGTTTGTAATACGTAGAAATATATTTATAATATATTTTTTTTAATATAACTAATGTAATCATTATATTATCATATCATATTTTGTAAGGTAAATATTACTATGGTCCAATCAACTATCGTCATTATCCGATTTGGTTTTTAATTTTTTTTTCATGCAATAAGTCATTAAACTTATAACTTATCTGTTTATTAAATCACTTTTGTTAGTTTTTAACATATCTTCTTTTAACTAGTTATTATAAATTACACGAATGGCCCTTATGATTTTAATTTCTTTCGTGGTTGGTCTCACACCAACAGAGTTCATCGTCAACATCACCAGTGTTCATTTCCGACAACCACCACATTTCACCTTGGACAACCCTGTTAACCATTATTCTAACATACAATCACTCACAAAAAAAAAAAAAAAATCTCAATTGATTTTAATTTTTATAAAAAAATTATTTTAGCGGGTTTCAATTTTAAAGAATTCATTTAAAAAAAAGTATATGTTCAGAATCAAAATTAAATGAAAGTGTAACAATGTCTATTTACTAAATAATAAATTAATTACCAATAAGATATTTGTGGGTTAACTTTTTCTTATAGTAAATGCATCAATACTCGTTACCTTCACAAAATATATACATGAAATGCTTATTTAAATTGGATTATCCAAATGAAATTGTTACACCATGCAATACTAAATGCAGTTTACTAACTACCTACGTATATATTTTTATTTGCGACAAGAACCCCATATTAAAAACAGATAATTTTTAATGCAATTATTTCACCAAATAATATTAAATGTAGTTTGCAAACTTCTATGATGATGTTTTTTTTAGTGATCTAACATATTTTTGATCGATTTAAGGGATTTGAGTGATTGGAGTTTCTACCAAATATATCATATTTTTACTTAAAATCAACCAGTAACTAAATTCTAAATAAAAAAACGTGGGGTTGCTCGAGATGAACAATGGTGGGTGCCAAAAGTGAACGGTGATGATGCAGGTGATGAACGATATTGGTAAAGAACCAACCATAAAAGAAATTGAAACCATAGGGACCATTCTTGTAAATTATAATAACTGGTTAATGGATGATCTATTAAAAATTAACGAAAGTGACTTAAAAGACATGTAAGTTGTTAATGATCTATTGAGCGAAAAAAAAATACTTTAATGATCAAATCGGATAAATGACGATAATTGATTGGCATATTTTGTACTAAGGCAAAATTCTTTGCACAATACTTTGAAACTCCAATAAATTTTCAAATTTCTAATAATACATAAATTGGTTAATTGATGTGAGATAAATAAATTTAAAAAAAAAAAAAAACTTAACTTTTAGTCTTTTATAAATATTTGATGATAATAAATGAGTTTAAACTAGTTATAACAATTTACAATAACATAAAATATTAAATTACATTTCATTTTATACAAAGCTTTGAAAATTGTTTTTTTTTTTATTGCTATATCATATAATAGTAATAATAAAAAAAAATTGTCAATCCAAATTATTAATATAACTCATTTCTAACGACAATAAGTTGATAATCACCTAGCTCTAAAAAATAGAAAACAAATCATCTCAATAGCTTATGTCAATCGTCTTAAGGTCCATGTGGGAGTTCAATCCAGATACACTACCAATATTTTGAATGTATTTACGGTTTGAACCTTAAACTTTCTACATAGAATTCTACTTCTCAATCACTATGATCTCGTTATGGGGCTAAAAACCACATAAAAAAACGAAATGTTTTGGGTGTATCGGTGCTTAATAACATAAAAAAACGAAATGTTTATTTTTTAAAGAGGTTTTCTAAAATAAAACTTATTTTAGGTTCATTAGATTATTAAAACTCAACTTGATAACCGTCTTAAAATTGTTAAAACATATACCGAAGCAAAATGGATATGAGTTTAGTAATTTTTTAAACTTGTTTTATTAAACCGAATTTACTCTGTAGGGACCAACTATGCAAAAAAGGATTTATAACGAATATTTTATAGACAAACTGAAAAGCTTAAGGATTATTTGCAGAGTTTTGTCAAATAAAAACTAGATAAAACTGCAAAAATGATCCATATACTATGTATTTTTTTGGAATTTTAGTTAAAACCATGATATTTTTTGGCTTCGTGGTCCTTTTACATAATTTCGTTGTGTTTTTGGTCCCTCCAAATTGTGAAACGACTGTAATACCCTTGGGGTATTTATTTTTCATTTTTTTAAAATCTAATACTACTTTATTTATTTTAATAATTGAAAAAATAAGAGTGGGACCCACCTCCCCTCTCTCTCTCCACCGAGACTACTCTATACTAAACACGCTTTTTTATTAAGGCTAAAACTAAACTATCAAAATCTCCATACTAAACACGCTTCAAAACTAGAAACCTGTTTTGTTTTTCTCAATTTAAGTAAAAAACAAACCAAATATAAGTATACAACTAATGTATTTAATTTGATTTTGGGATCCCAATGGGGATTTTAAAGACCCTTTATTGAAAATAAAAACTTTTTGAATGACTTTAACTCCGTGTGGACATAACATTTTTCTTTATTGCACTTTAGGATGATTTTTTCTTAGGGTTCACATGACACTTTTTTTCTTTAATACTACGCCTAGTATGGTTTTCTTTACTTAAATTGATTATATATGATCAGGCTTATATAAAGACTTTAGTTTATGTTTGTTTACGATTTTCTATAGTATATTTAAGTATAATAAGTTTAAATATTGTATTATATATATTGTATACTGAATCATCAAAGGTACATATGTACAATTATACATATGATTCAAGAGTTTCTAAAAATTTTCAATATTCCAAACGTGTATGAAAAGCATGTTTCTTGCTTTTCATAAACTTATAAACTTATTTAAGGGGTCATACATATGAAACAAAGAACACATTCTCTCTCTCTCTCTCTCTCTCTCTCTCTCTCTCTCTCTCATTTACGGTTGAGGGGAATGTTGTTTGGTCCGATATCGTTTTGATTGAATTCATACTGATCTCGGACCAGGCTTCATTCCCCCTAACGTGTGAGAATTCAACATACTTAAACGAGAAGTCGACAAAAGTGAAGTTTCTTGAGGTAAGTACTAAATGCATATGTTTGATTATGATGCCATAGATCATAGTTCTTACACGTTTTACCACTCTTAGATGTAAGTATCATAAGCAATCCCATGATATGTTTGTTTCTCTATGATTATCAACAATTTGTTCTATAAAAACTATTAGGACGTATTATTTATTGATGTTGATTGTGTCATTCAGACAAATGTCAAAACTGTTATCTTATAGTAACACTTGTATAAATCGGGTGACTGGTTGGCTCTTCATATAATTACCATTTGTTGATGTCATGGATTATCATTCTTAAATCTCAAAAAATAAGAGAACGCCATTGTTATTATGTTTGAGTTCTCACATCTTTACGACTTTACCACTGGAACAAACATGTAAAAGTATTAGTTTTAAAAGTTATATAAACATTTAATCAATAAACAAACAAAGTTCTAATAGAATTATGCTTGAGTATAGCTTTATATAATGCATGTTACAATTCTTTTTTGAATAGTTAGTCTTCCTTTTATGGTCTATTTGAGAATATGGGATTGATTTTTCTTTGAAGTTTGGCACGTATATTTTAGTCTCTACCTAATCTATCAAGGAAGTTGAAGGAAATATGGCTCTTAAATAAACAAAGTCGTTTTCCACTTTTATTTTGTTTTATTTTTTGTTTTTTTTAGAACGTGATACAAACACTTTATAATCTACTCGTAACTTAAGCCATCGTTTTATTTTCTACTTTTAGTAATTGAAAAACTTGAATTAGTCATCCCAGTGGACTTTGCTTGTAGAGAGTTAGAAAGAATATTAACCAAAAACCTTTCACTTTCTTATCTATTCAAGGCTGAAATAGTAAATATTATACTTATTTTATAGGAGTATCCTTCACAGAGACACAAGTGCTATATAACATAATTACTATATATGTACATGATGTAAAGAGCTTTACTCATAACTTTGATTAAATTTTAATTTATCGTATTTGATTGATTAGATGATATAATATAATCAATGTAATGAGCATAAACGATTATTATTTTTGTTCTATTGCATTTGATTGTTATATAATGTTTGAAGATATTCGGAAACTATTTTATTACATGTTTATTTTTATATGTAGGTTCTGATAACATCTATTAAGATGCTATTATTTGCTTACAACGTCTCATATTTATTTAAGAATGTTTTCTGTTTATAAGTGTTTTAGAGTTTCATTAGGAGACTTTGTAAGACTATTATATAAAGTCATTTAGATGTTAACTTTTAATCATTGCATATATTACATCTTTTTTCTCTCGTATTTTTTCGGTTATGTAACCTTTTAACAAGAATGTCGTTATATAGTGAATTTTTCTGGTTTCATGTCCCCATTTTATATTGTGTTGTTCTTTGTTGTTATTTGTGTTTGCTTATTTTATAACAAATGGTATCAGAACTTGTGATTAAAGATCCAAATCATACGTAGGAGTTGATCAATTCCCATGGCAGCTTCGATTTTCGAGTTGGCCGAGTTTCTTAATCATTAAGCTT